GGATCAACGTGTTTAGCTCATCTGCATGACACAACTGGGAATAAATCAAAACATAGCAGAAGACAAACTAAGGGAACATTTATTTAAGTTCAACTTTGTCCATCGAGCATTCAAAGTGTCAGCTGTTGTTCAAAATAAAACAGAAATAAAACAGTAGCTTTTAGCAGCTTTCAATATAAGAATTAATACAATATTTGATCATTGATACGCTGGTATATTTTATAACAAATACATTGGAAGATTTTAGAACGTACGAATTTAGTGATTGCTGTTAGATATGGGTGCACAATTTGCCTTTTGTTGCTTCGGTACTTTCATGTATCATGTGTATGTCATACTAAAGAAGATTACAGTCAGAAAGACACTTTAAAGTCTGTTTCATAAAAACAATACCCCATTGGTGCACTAAACTGTTCAATTTGATAAGTTTTGCAAACAACCTTTTAAATAATCAATTATAAACAGTAAATTCGATACATGACATGCTATAACCTTTATTTTCTACCGCAAGATCAAATTCCTATTATACAGATAAACACTCTTGTGTGTGTTCGTATGTGTTCTAATTCCTGCTACAATGCATCAAATACAGTTTATGTCCTATCATTGTGTCATTTTGTAGTTTTTGCCGTATGTCTGTACTACCCTGCAGAACATGTTCCGACTGGAAAGTATCTAGTATTTAATACGGTGATAGATCACTTATAAACAATGAATATTATACATGTTTTAGACGAATGAGATTATTTACGGGGTTTTAATAACATGAGCAACACGACGGGTGTCACATGTGGAGCAGAATCTGCTTACCCTTCGGGAGCACATGAGATCATCCCCAGTTTTTGGTGGGGTTTGTGTTGCTTAGTCTTAGTTTTCTATGTTGTGTCATGTGTACTATTATTTGACTGTTTGTCTTTTTCTTGTTTAGCCATGACGTTGTCTGTTTTTTTTTTTTCGATCTATGAGTATGAATAACCCTTTGGTATTTTTTTGCCCCTGTTTTATATAATAAATGTTTATTTTATTTGTACTAAACTAGGACACATATTTGATAATGCATATCAGTCTTTTGTGAGATGTTATATCACATGTATATAATCTACAACCGTTCTTGAGTGATGGAAAAATAAGTAAAATGAGAAGATAAATACAAAAATGGTTTCATTACTTCTTAACTTCTGCATATTTCATTAAAAAAATAATAGAACTGATAGAAAGATACATATATGGTGATTGCCAGATTACACACTTTGGGAAACTCAGTATAATATTATATGACAGGAACGAAAGGGATGGAATCATGTAAAAAACAGTATGAGATTTTGTAAATGATGTTTCAGAGATGAGGAGATGGGTAGGTCTGTATGCAGGACCTGATTTTGTTTTGTTCTAATATAAGCGATGTTAAAGATGAAAAAAATTCCATATTTTACCTCAATTTCCATTCCCTACAATGTTGATTGATAGGTTGGATAATTGGACAGTTTTCTATCGCCTCGCATGCATGGACGAAGGCAACAAACGTTAACTTAATCCATACTTGCATGGACTAACTAAAGTCTGCTTGAAAATTGAAGAAAATTTCAAATGTCTATGTAAAGTTAGTTTAGCTCATGTATTCAATTAGGCCAAGTCTGTTGTGTTTTTTCTAAACTTGATGTTGTTTTTTAGTTTTATTTAGTACCTTGTTATAAGTTAAAATCAAGTTAAAACATAAATGGAATGGTAATGCATTAAGCGGAGGAAACAATAGTTAAACGATGTTCATTCTCATAAAGCGATTAAATAGAAAAACATCAACTTGAAGGTATTACATAGAAACTGTTGGCATCGCAAGAACTTCAAAAGGAGTATAGCCGGGTCTTTCGACAATGTAAGCGTATCTGCTATAAATGCCTCACTTGCAGTGTGATCTTACAAATATTAAAATCGGAAAGCTAAATGAAAAACTAAAATAAAGCTTAAGCTAAACTAAAGTTATATGACCCCATTTTGTAACCAACGGAGGTATTTACCTTAGTATATAAGAATCCTTTATAGAAACAAATAAACTGTAAAATTATATATATGATGATAATTGTCTCGTTCATCACAAATTAAAATTTCCCAAATAGTACCGTCAACCGATTAAAAATTAAAGTTTAAGTCTTAATTATGTAGTTCAAAGTTTATTTAAAGAACACACAGAGCCAATATATTTTTTAAAAATAACAGGACAAACACTAATCAGGCAATTCATCATGATTTTATCCTTCATGTTAAATAGAAATAGGGAAACATCGATAAAAAGATATAAAGTAATGCACTGTGCTTGTATATATTAAAAACAAAACTTTACGTTATTTGATTAATTTTACTTACTATTGACATGCATTAGTTAAATATACAAGGAAGTCCTTGATGCGGCAGTGATAGTTTTGTCCAATCGTTTCAAAGGTTGTATAACGAATTATGTCAGTCATGTCAAGATTACAGGGTTTTAAATAAAACACTTTATTTTAATCTTTGGGAAATTATATCTGTTGACCGATACCAAATCAATCATTTACACCAAGAATAGAAAAAAAACATAAAAAAATCACTATGTAGGTTCGTCTTTTGCAACTGTTTTGTCACAAGTTCTCATTTCAAGACAGTAGAAGAGGTTCTACTGGTAAAGAATTTTATATCAAACTGACATTTAGTAACCAAAAGGAGTTAGTCCGGTAAGGAGTATATTCGGCTCCGATTATTAAGTTTTAGGATTCAAGAAAAACAATATGTTTTAAAGTGATGGATAGACATTTGGAAACGTTTTTGTTATAGTTTTTTCAAAGCGTTGATATTTATGTCCCATATAGGTTCAAAAAGATAATTTGCGAAGCTTGACAAACACGACTAAATTGCATTCAAATTAAGGCCAGGGAAACATAGACCGCAGGTATCGACACACTTATTAATCAAGTCAGATATAAAAGTGTCAAAACAAACATTATGTTGCAATGATGTCTATTTGTCGTCGCATTCGCTCTATGCCACCTGTCCTTAATCAAGACAAAATAACACAATACTACCTCCACCTCATTTTTATACTTATACCTCGAATAAGACACAACCGACCATCAAGGTACCAGAGTCTATGACAAACGAGACGATTTTAATTTTGAAATTATCAATTTCCCTCACCTTAGCAGTCATAAACATGATAAACCAACTTTACATTTTTTTTTTATTGAAATACGTGTTTGAATTCGTCTCTAAGTAAATTAACAATAGGAATTCTATGATAAAGTGTAGATAATTCAATTTCATTCATAGTATTGCAAGAAGAAAGTGAACCAAATTAAATGTATCAACGAATTCTTGGATAATTGTATTGTTCTTATCTGATTCCCACCCCTGGAAGAGGAATTATCATACTTTAGTAGTAACTCTGAAGAATATTTTGACTTCTATATTTTCCTGTAACCTTTGTTGTTTTGAAAACGGCTGTAAAGAGTAATTGACAGACACAGCTTTGTTTTTGTAAAGACTCTAAAAAAATGTTTGATACTAAGTACAGCGAAGGGAGACCTAGCTCTTTATATTTTGTTGAAATTCCAAAAGAATAAGGAACATATCCTTCTATTTATATTTTATTTTTTAATTTATTTGAATTTGTTGATGTGACCTTGCATCTGATTCCTTATTGTACATACGGAGCATTACTTAAAATTACACGCTATTGGTACAAACGAATTTCATTAAAAATACATTTCATTACATGCTTTATAGAATGATAAAAAGATAATGAGAACGTTCTTGCTTTCTCATCATGATAAATATGAGCCTGTTGTAAGTTTTTATTCCTGTTGAGTTTTTTGAAACATAATAATAAGAAACACTTGCATCGTTTATCTATCTACCTTCCATCTACATTTTCATTTCGAAATATTTTTTTATTCCACTAGCACGTGGTATTTGCAATTTCACCTTACCATATATTTTTAATCTGAATGTTCTTGCCTTTCGTCAGACAAAGCTTTCATCACTCTAAATTGTATAGTTATATGGATACAAATACTGGCAAATAGTTGTGACAGTTGTTGCTGATCTGTACTTAATGCTTTATAGTTTAGCTCTTGAAATATATATCTACATATGCCCACAATTACAGCAGACTGAATAAAGAACTCTGATAGATCAACTTTCTGAACTTCCTTGATTCAAAATTATATTGATTACTTTAAGATAGCCTTGTTGACTTTATATCGTTTCGTCATTTCGATTGCACAAAGTACGTATATAAAAATCACGCTTAAAGGCACAGAAACGATCATTAAAAGAAACGAACATGATAGAGTTACAGCGAATTGTGATTTTTATTATTGTTGTTTGTTTGGAGCTGCAATACATGTATTGTTCTGAAGGTAATACATCCCCTTTTCATTTAATATGTATATTACATGTGTTTGTTTACTAATTATATTAACACAATTTAGAACAATATTCTAAGGAAGAGTAAAAATTAAAGCTAATTAATGGTAATAACTTTAACCAATACCAAATATACATGTAGTTGCATACTTTAATAAATGTTTATGTATATAAATAGTTGTTCATATTTGCGTTGAACAGAGAAACCATTTTAAAATCGGACTTACATCAAAACAAAATTTTAAAATCAGAAAAAGATTTACATTTGCATCGGTTATTTTATTAATCATGACCACTCCACATAGGACGAACCGGTATAATATAAAGTTTGTACTGTTCATAAAAAGTAAATGCTCCAGCAAGGAAAGCATCCGTGAAACAAATTTACTTTCATTGGTGATATCGAGAAAAAATTAATAGATTGTGGTTTCGAAAATTGGAGCATTTAGGTAGAAATGAAAAAACGGATATGATACGTTCGTGTTTATTACATTTTTTTCTAACGAAGAATGAAAGTGTTAATTCATTATAATATTACAAGTTAGAAATGTTATAGCAGGTTTATAACACACTGTTCGATTTATAAATATATGAATATGTTTATCATGTTTATATCATCTACAGGAAAAGACAACAAAGGCAAACATTTTATATTTGGTTTTATGAATAACGTCGATGAAAGTATACAGGAGGTATTTATTACCACCGACTGTAGGTGTAATGTCACCGTCACAATATCAACTCCTCTTTACGACCCTGGTTTCTTTAAAACTGTAAATCTTAAAAGGCATGGTGTATACAACGTTGCATTTAATCCTAAAATTCAGAGTAGACAGGGTACAGAACTGAGCAACAAAGGTATAGAAATCATAGCAAACGAAGAAATAACTGTATATGCTGTTAACAAGGCAAATGGTGCATCAGACGCATTTGCAGTTTTCCCTCTTGACACACTTGGCTATAACTATTATGTGATAACATGGAGCAATTCGGCAGAATTTATGATTATTGCAACGGAAGAAAACACAAATGTTAACATTTTAGTTGCAGATGAGACATACATTAGATATAATAATGTACGCTATTCAGCAGGAAAAATGTTGAAGATCAACATGAATAAATTCCAAACGTTTCATGTGTATGACGGCCCAGACTATACCGGGACGAGAATCACTTCCAATGAGCCTATAACTGTAATAAGTGGAGCATCATGTACCAGTATAGGTTCAGGAGCATGCGATCATCTTTCATCTCAAATGACACCAGTAGAAACATTCGGTAACACTTTTGTTACTATCAATATGCCAAACTGTAAAAGGCCAGTAAACTTTAAAATTGTAGCGAGTGAGAATAATACAGATATTAATATTACCGGTAAAGCCCAATCTAGTTTGATCGCAGCAGGTGATAAATATCTGTTTCGAATAACAGACCAATCTTCCAGAGTTGTTTCCAGTTCTAAGCCTATTGCGATTGCATTTTTTTCGGAAGGGGGTTGCGGAACGCCAAATGGTGACCCATCAATGATTCTTTTGCAACCCATCCAACAATTTGCTGCCGACTATACATTTACAACAATCGAATATCCAACAAAACCATTTAATCATGCACTTACAATTGTAATTCCCGAATCAGAAATAGGTGGTCTTATATTGGATGGAAAAAATATCTCTGCAAAATGGAGACCAATAGATGGGAGTGATGACTTGCGAATAACAGACATAAATGTCGGAAAAGGCGCTCATACAGTTTATCACGTAAATCCCATAGTCATATTTCTAGCAGTGTCGACAGGACTTGCAAATTATAATTCGTATGGATACTCCTCTGGACAACGTTTAGCTCCAATAAACAGTGTAAGTATTATCAATGAAAATTACATTGCTATCTTTATAAATAAACTCATCATAGATACCAGAATTAAAGGTTTGTATTTGCGCCTGATGCGCGTTTCGCATAAAAAAGACCCTAAAATAAAAAAAAGTTAATAAGGCCAAATAACGTACGAAATTATATTGCATAATATAAATAATTGCTTTATAATCTGATCTAGTGTAACTATCAAATGACACTGTATGCTTCTAAAATAAATCTACAGTAGTGTACAACGTTTTTGTTGTAGTTCTATATTTCTATATTTTTGTTAAATTAAATTTTACATATTTTAGTTATTTTATGATAGGTCGATTGCAACATGAAATAAGAAACAAAAAATATACAATGGATTTCGTATATGCTCACAGTCTAGCATGTTTTAGGTTGCATTATTTCTGTAAAGATTGACAATGCAATTTCCCATAGGTACTCCTTTTACGGCTAAAACTGTACAACTTTTACTATGAAGTTTTGAAAAAAATCATATCCTAGAATGGAAAGTTCATATGCACTACTATTTTTTTCAAAGGTCAAAATATAGAGCTGTGCGGCATATTTTCAACGTTTATATGCCCCGAACTTCTAAGAGTTTAAACTTACACTAAATTTCTTAACTACCCCTACCTTAACTGTAGGATTACCACAGATTTCAATATAAACAATATGCATATGTATATTTACTTGTAACATTCCCAAGTTATGTCTCTATGAGATGAAACATAAAGATCATAACTGGGAACCAGTATGTAAACAAAATTGTTTATCAATGAATATCTCCCCAAAATAAGCGTGGTTTGAGAAACAGCTGTATTTACAAAGTGCAACCTGAAAATATAATGTAATACAACAAACGTATGTATCACAGATCATCAGCGGATCAATATTTTAAGTTTCTTAAATCAAAACCATGATTTTCTTTTTATTTTAGAACTGTTCAATTAGTATAACTGTACCAGGTGACATTATTGATAATGACTGTGATGGTTTAATTGACGAAGAACTTAAAGATGGAAAAGGTAATATACAATTTACTATTGATGTAGAGTGTTTATAATTCAACATTTTTGACTTTTAGTATTATACTATAATGTACTTTATGATGAAGGGAACGTTTATAACAAGAATTTTTAACACATATTGATGTAACATTACGCTTGTTTATTTAGATATGCACTTTTTTTCCACATCTCAGATTGTGGTTTACCATTTACGTCGTCTGGTGGTTTAAGTACCGAACGTGACCTATTGCCGAATATGACTGTTTTGCTGAGTGTGATTTCACATTGCTATAAGACGTGTCTCGGCGTTTGTTTATCTAGGGTTCATGTTTATAGTTAAGAAGTTTTATTTGTAATTCTGATCGGATATTGATTTGTGTTTCATCGTTTGCAGTTGTGATTCTGATTTTTTTTTATTTTCTATTCGTATGCAAAAGTTAAGATTATTTATCACCCAGTTAATTTGTATGATTTTAGTTTAAAGTAACTACATGTGTGCACACAAGATTTATTTGTTTTAAACAGTTTGGTTTGGGAGAAAAGACGACATAGTTAGATAGGGCAGTTAGTTGCACACTTAGTAACATTTTTCTATATTAATATTCTTGTAATTTGTTATAAAATACATCAAATTACATTATTAGAAACCTAATCATGATTTATATTCATTTTTTAGAAATATACCCGAGACGTTACTTTTTGTGGATTTGATACATACATAGGTGTGAAAGACACACAGTTCGTAATTCTATTATGCTGCATTTGTGTACTCTCCTAAATTTATTTCAGTTATTCGTTGTTATTCTGTGGTTAAAATTTCTAAATGTACTTTAAAGTTATTCATTTATGTATTTCTCTGTCTTGAGTGTTCTTGCAGTTATTTGTACTGTATTCCCGTCATGTAATGTTGTCATTTTAGTGATATATTTAACATTGCCTTAAAGCGCGAGGTTTGACTAGCCACAAAACCAGGTTCAACCCACCATTTTAATAACATGTCCTGTACCAAGTCAGGAATATGGCAGTTGTTATCTAATAGTTCGTTTCTATGTATGTTGCATTGTCGTTTGTTTTTTGCTGCCTTTCATTTTTCTGTTGTGTCGTTGTTTTCCTCTCATAGTTGATGTGTTTCCCTCGGTTTTAGTTTGTATTTGTTTTCTCTCAATCAATTATTGACTTTTGAACACGGTATACCACTATTGCCTTTTTGTTTTAATATGTTTTCACTTGTATTTCTAAGATAATGATGGTGATGGTAAACTTGATGAGGATTTGGCTACGTACGTAGAAGAACTTGAATCAAGAACAACAAAATTGTCAACAAAAGAATTGCCAACAACAGAGTTTTCAACAATGGAACTGCCAACCACAGAGTTTTTAAGGACAGAACTGCCAACAACAGAGTTTTCAACAACAGAATTGTCAAAAACAAAATTGTCTACAATATCTATGTCAGCTACATCAACTAGACATTTCTTAACAACAACATTCATAAAAACGTTTGCATCAACAACTACATCGAGGCAACCAATAGCATCAGGAAAATTAACAACTACATCAAGACAATCTACAACAACGCTCCCATCAACGTCTTCTATGCAAATGTCAAGTATGTATTTAAAGTTTATCGTATTTATTCTGCTACATATTTGTAAACCAAGGTTTGATTGCGTCTGTAAAACTTTCGAACACAACTGAACAGATGAAAACAATTCTTTAGAATTAATTCATTCGAAGCAGTAACCATCTGTCACGGGAACCTATTTTCTGTACCACCTCAGGAATATTAACAGTTGTTTTAACTTTGGTTTTGTTGTACATATTTGATAGAAAACATGTAAATTTGGTTTAAAAGATACTCATCTACCTAAAGGGTATCACAAAAATATCGACCACTAACTAAAGGTGAATTCAAAAGGGGGATTCCGAAGTAAAAACACTTGAGAAAAAAATTGCAACGTTATAAACTAACTGAACTAATGGACAAAATATCAGTGGGCTTTATAATGGAACGTAAAGTATCGATGTCTAAAGTCTGTGTATCTATTAAAGTAATATTCAAATAATACAATGTAATATGTACATGTATAAAATTGTAAATAAGTGTCATGCGTGTTAACCAACTCTCTACTAGATAAAACTTGTAGTTAATGATAAATTATATTTTCGCGGATATTTAGAATCACTGAACTTATATTTGATTTGGAATTGCAAAATAGAAACATATGATACTTTAGTTTTTATATGGTTGTTGTATCTTAGCTAAAAACGGCAAATCTTTTAAACAATATAACGCACACCAGTAATAATTATTACTTTCAGTATATATAAGAGTAAAATTGTTCTTTATACAAGAGACAGAAATAGTTCTGCATTTTGATGCAACAGTACAGAGAATGGCATATACATTGCCGTTTTTGAGAAGGGGAAAATAATAATCTGAAAACCCATAGCTAAAAAAGAGCATATTTCATTGCGGGGCCTTTTATAGCTAACTGTGCGGTATGGGCTTTTCTCATTGTTGAATGCCGTACGGTGACCTATAGTTGTTAATTTCTGTGTCATTTGGTCTCTTGTGGAATGTTGTCTCATTGACAATCATACCACATCTTCTTTTTTTCTATATCATTATTTGTTATCTTTATCACTATTACTTTCCTTATAACGAAAAGCTTGTTTAATTTTCAGATTTTTCAGAAGAAGTTTTAAGAACAGATTTAGTGATTGCAGGTGTTGTGATTTCGATGTTTGCCCTCTGTTGTTTCATCACTGGCATGTTTTTCTTTAAATGGAAACGGACTAAAAATAGCAAAGCAGAAGGTTATGATGTGTCTCAATGAACATGACAAAGAAACAATTTAACATATATCATTTGGTTTTGAACATTTGTGTTACAGGAATTAACGGTGTAGTTATTCAAAATCATATAACGTTAACGTATACAAAATACATTATTTGATCTAAAATATCTAAAAAGCATAATTATTATGATATACATGATAAAGATAACTGCTTACGACAAATTTGATGAAACCATACCAAATTCGTTGGCCTGAAAACATGTTTTGAGGAGACCTCAGTTGACGAGGAAAGGGGGGGGGGGAATTAAGGTGGCAGTTACCCAACGCTCCTTTGGGGTCAAATTCACGATCATCGATGTTTAAATATAAACTAAACGATAAACCTTTGAATAAAAATACGGTTTCGAATATGATAATTTTTCTTAATAAGTTTCTGTGCGTGATATTTGGTGATAAACCAGTTTAAGAGAAGTTTATTATATCCATATTTTCCCAGTTTTAACTTTTATTTTTTTTTTTTGTTTATATATTGGTTTTCTTAAAATTCTATCAAAATATTTAAAGCCGGTATGATCTATGAAACATTTATGTGTCTTTGAACTATTTGCTGGTACCGTTCGTTGTAAAAGATCTGAAAAAGGCCACTCTTTTGGTTTCTCCTCATTATAAAAACAAACTTTGACACGATGAGTTAACCAGTTGCGCTGAAAGTATTCAAGGTATACACATCCTCTAAATCGTTCGTTATACAAATGGAAAATTATCATAACATCAGATGCATGAATTATAGCATTTAAAAATTCTTTTCAAAACGGTATATTCCAATAATTTTTATATCTAGATATGGGGATATCATATTGACAAATACATAAGCCTTGTAAAAAAGAGATGAAAGACATTTAAATTCAAAGTCGACAAGTATCTGACAAGAACACATCCGTCGTCATTTGTGAAACAGATATTCCATAAAGGTCAACCATTTTGTGATGGCGTATGAAACAAAATAGCAAAGGGGGATGATTTCAACTTCATCATTTCCTCATATTGGTTCAATAACTCCCTTGTAAGCAGAAACCCTGTATCGAGAACATCAATACAGGAAATGTACGCTCTGGAAGATAGTATTAATTTGGAGATAAAAAAATATATATCTGCAGGTACTGCTGAAATGTTGATCCATACATGTCATTGAAATGGAAAGTCCACAATGATGTTTGATTCGAAAAGTTCTTACACGTTACAAATACATCTTTGCTGTCTTACTGCTGACCAAAAATTCAATGATTCTGTTGGATTGAACTGAATGAACGCATAGTTAATCGTCTTCAGTCTATTCTACGTTTTGAAGAAGTCAAAGTTGCGGTAAATAGAAAAAAGGTATAAAAACATCAAGAGACAAATCCCTCATTTGAGCATAAAAGAACATGTGATTGTATTCAGATTATTGACAAAACAAACATTCGTGAGTGATTTACGTCAACCGTACAGCAATCAAACAAAAAACAAAACAAAAAAGGGACTGCCACATGGCAGAATGTAGAGATTTTGCAGGAAGATGGCTCAATCAATGTTTACAATAACAATAACTTCCTTGACTTCATACTCGTGTTAAATAATCTAATCATAGCAGTAATCAAACTTGTAAAGTGTTCTATCTACTGTTTAAAATCTGTATGAAGTGTACCTTACTTACCTGTTGTGAGTCAACATATTTTTCTAAAATACTACAATCTAATAGGGTTTTAATTACTAGTATATAAACGGATGTTCCGTCCTTAGTTTGTCTCGTGAATTTATACGGTACGTTACTGGTAAAAAGTATCCAGCGTGTGTTTTTGTTCTGTTACTTTGTACAATATATTTACACGATTCAGATCTAGAAACAATATGATGGTGGGTGTCAAAGGAATGAGAAGATGCGACGATTACTTCTTGTAATAAATTCGATCATATGCAGTCAAAAAAACCCAACATATATTATATACTGTGACAATATAACACAAACATCGAGGTGTTTTCTTACAAAGTTTGAACCCTAACTGCTCAATACATTTTCCATACTCACTTTACAGCAACTGACTGGGCAATGTATTTGCAGTGGAAAAAACCATCATGAAATAACCAAGTGAAATGATCTTGATTGTTTTACATTGTCATTTCGGAGCCTTTTATAGCTGACTACGCGGTATGGGCTTTGCTCATTGTTGAAGGCCGTACGGTGACCTATAGTTGTTAATTTCTATGTATTTCGGTCTCTTGTAGAGAGTTGTCTCATTGGCAATCATACCACATCTTCTTTTTTATTGCTTGGTATATTATTATATAATTATGTATTTCTCTGTCCTGAGTGTTCTTGGGCTTATTTGATCACTCGTCACGTAATGTTTCATTTAAGCGCTATTTTTTAATCTTCCCATATTAGCGGGAGGTTTGGCTAGCCATAATATCAAGTTCAACCCACCTTTTTTTCTGAAAATGTTCTGTACCAAGTCAGGAAAATGGCAATTGTAATCAAGTTGTTATCAAGTAATCCTTGTATGTTGACGTTTGTTTTTGTAGCAGGTCAGTGTTTCTGTTGTTTTTATTCTAGTTGGTGACTTTCTCCTAGTTTTTGTTTGTGACCCTGATTTGTTTGAGTTAAATTGATTTATAACTATTTAACAGTGATATACTACTGTTGTCTTTATTGGATATAGTACTACAAGTTGCTTAATATCTTTCATTCACACATTGAAATTTTAAGCGCGACTGATTACTTAAATTGTCGTTCGATAGACAAATACCTTAAATAATCAAGTTCATAACGTCCCTCATCCTTCCTCTTAAATAAATTGAAAAATAACATGAACCGGTTCTAACTTATTTTTTTTCAGACTTGAACATACACCTTTCACTTGAATGCATCAGGGATCCAAATCAGCTAGGTCTAAAGACATCTTATCACTGCAATTCCTGTGTTAAGTCTTGTCATACAAAGACTAAAAAAGCATCCGATAATACGTAAATATCATCGAATTCAGATTATGACGACCAGTTACTTTAAAAGATAACTCTCGGATTACCAATCTACTCTAATATCGCTATCAAAATCTACACCAGCTCTTTTAAACCCGATACTCATGCAAATACTAACGGAAACGTAAACTATGGATTTAGAAATGATGGACTCTATAAACCGAAATATAATGAAAAAAATAATACACATAGAGATCAATATTTAAGTCAAACATTGATACTGCATAAAATTAAATCGAGGTGCAATTTACTAGTACAAAAGTTGTCTTCAATCTAACGACGTCCAGACGAGGTGTAGATATCCTAATATGTACATAGAGTCTTGGACACGAACATAATCGCTGCAAACACTTGAAGGACAATGAAAATCTAAATGGGGATTAAAACTACACAGAAAAATTACACTATGTTCTTTGATTATTGGCAGTCTGAGTGTGAATTCATCTGGTGTTTATCCATATGTATAAATAATGCGCAACTGAATTTGCTGATGTTCTTCCTCAACATGTGCATGACATAACTAAAAAAACAACAATGAATCAATTTAACAATCATGAAAAACATAAAATAATTGAAACCAAAGGTTTATGGGAAGCAAAATGTTTATGAGAAGCGAAAATGGGCTACATGACCGAAATGGAGCCTAGCAAAAGACCCAAATCCATCTATTGTTATTTCTTTCTGTGAAAGTTTGCATCTGAGCTTCTAGATAATTCTTACCTTGATAGAGTTGTGATTTAAGAAAGGCATGTTATAAATCATTGCAGAACCAAAATATCGACTGCTGAGTTTT